GCACATATATCACTGTGGTATGATTCTTTTAATTCTTTGGGGAAGATACCCAGCAGGGGAATAGCTGGGTCAAATGGGACTTCCAGTTCTAGTTCTTTGAGGTATCTCCATACTGATTTTCACAGTGGTTGCACCAATCTACACTCCCACCAGCAGTGGAGCAGTGGTACACATATGTTTATAATTGTTACCTGGTCCTGTTGAATTGTTCCATAACCAATATGTAGTGACCTTCTTTGCCTCTTCTCATCAGTTCTGGCTTGAAATCCACTTTGTCTGAAATTAGGATAACTATTGATGCTTTTTTCCAGGTTCCTACTGAATGAAATATTGTTTTCCATCCTTTGACTTTTAATCTGTTTATTTTTTGGATTAAATGTGTTTCTTTTTTTTAATGGTGCCAATTTTAAATACTTTTATTGAAGACATTACATTTCCACTTATAACACAGTGCTTATAAAGTGCAATGTTATCTTTTCAATGTGCACATGTTCCATGTTCAAGTATTGAGAATGCCCAGTACTTCACTGTAGCAGTTAAACTTTAACAACTGCCATAGAATTTGCTACAAATTTAGGTCCTTTAATGTTTTATTGTGTGGAACAATGCTAAATCTATACTTAGAGTTGGCTTAATCAACCTCTTCAGTGGTAGGCCTTGAGGAAGCACCACCAGAAGGAGGAGCTTCCGCACCAAGGAAGCCCCCCAGGCATTCCTCCAGGCATGCCACCTGCACTCTGGTATAGCTTGGTAATGATGGGATGGCAGACTTTCTCCAGATCCTTCTGCTGATGTTCAAATTCTTCCTTCTCTGCAGTCTGATTCTTATCCAGCCAGTTGATGATTTAATTTAAATGTGTTTCTTGTATACTATATATCGGGGTTTTGGTTCTTCATCCATGCTGCCAATCTGTATCTTTTGTTTGGGAAATTGAGACCATTCACATAGATAGTTATTACTGAAAAGTGTTGACTTATTTCTGTCTTTACATTATTTTCCTGTTGCTGACACCACCGCTCCCACCCTTTTTACTGAACTTTTCACCCTGCCTGGTATACTCGTTCTATTAGATTTTATGTCATTGTTAGCTTCACTGTCTCTTTCTAGAATATCCTCGAGAATTTTTTGGAGTGCTAGTTTGGTGGTCATGAATTTCTTTGTCATAGAAGTACCTATTTCTCCATCAATTTGGAAAGAAAGTTTTGCAGAATATATAAGTCTGGTTGGAAGTTGTTATTTTTTAGGCTTGAAACATTTCACTCCAAGCTCTCTTGGTCTTTAAGGTTTGTGTTGAGAAGTCTGCTGTAATTCTAGTGGGTTTACCTTTGTACTAATTGATTTGTTGTTTTCCTCTTCATAGCTTTTAAGATTCTGTCCGTGTTGGAAATGATGTGACATGGAGAGGTTCTCTTTTGATCATGGCTATTTGGGGCTCTATATGCCTCTCTTATCTGTATGTTTAATTCTTTCCAAATATTTGGAAAGTTTTCTGCTATTATTTCTGTAAAGGTTTTTTTAAAATGCCCTTTGTGCTCTTTGTGATTTTTCAGTTATTCCAATTAGTCTTCTTTGCATCATCTAGCAGCTGTTGAATCCATTTTTCATGTTCTCATTTTTAAGGTATCTCTGAGTAATTGGTCTTTGAAAGTTTCCCTAACTTCCAATTCTTCACATTGGTCACTTTTCTTCCCCTACTTTCAATGTAATTTTTAATCCTGTGTCAGGTAAAAAAGCCGAAAACTAAGACCAGACGAGGCCACAACAAGCCTTTATTGCAGGGACAATCTGCTGGGCTGCCTCTGAACAAAAGAGAGACAAAAGCAATATGGCCAGGACGGGGAGCGCTTCTTATAGGAGCTGAGGTGGGGTTGAATGAGGTAGTGGCTGGGGACTGGAGGAGCCTGTGCCCTCACTAGCTGTTAGAAGGAGAGCAAGTATTAGGTTACTCTTTTGGTGGGAGTAGGGGCATGTTGGGAAGAACTTCACTATTATATACAGCAGCCACCCTAAATCGGAGGGAAATCTATCTATCACCCTGTATTTGTTTGGAACCTTTTCATGAACTCTAGTTCTTTGCTAAACTGATCATATATGTTTTATATCACTTTTGTTTAGCTTAGTTAGGTTTTTATTAGGTCTTCTATAATCTCCATTTTATTACCTGTATTTTATCTGATTATATTTTCTGTGAATCTGCCCAACCATGCATTGATCTGCTTTTTAATCTCCACTGTTAATCGTTTTGAATAATTTAGCAGTGTGGCTTTTGCTTTCCTCCCCCTCAATGCCCCATGGGTAGGCTTTGGGGGAGCTGGGAGTGTGGGGAGGCATTTTGTTGCCTTGCTGACTCATGTTTCTGTTGTTTATTTGTTTGTTTTTTGCTTGGATGTGTGCTTATTGTGAAAAGGCTTGTTACTATGGGGATCTCTTTAGTTAGTCTGCTTTCTGGTGATGCACTCAGGGAGTGGCTAACAAAAGTCCTTTGCCTGTGTCCCAAGATCCGATCACCTGGGTTAATATGGGGAGTTCTCTGGGAATGGACCACAGTATTGTTAATGTCATAAGGTAATCCAGATACTGGCATACAAAAAAAACCTTATTGATAGCAACATCTGTGCAACCCTGGCAGTATCAAGTAAATCAGCAACAATAATATTGTCCAAGACAAACTGGATCTTAATATACCATAAAAGTCAGTAATGTACCACCCTTAGCCTTAGAAATCTACAATTATAGTATAAACCCTGACAAACCACACATTGACATACAGCAAATATGTACTGTGATAACCATACCTCTACTAATCAGAGAAAAGAATTCAACAGTAGTAACACAGAGTCAACTACCTAAAGATTAATAAACCTTGATGATTATATTATTAAAAGATATAAGAGATTGAGAATAAAAAAGAAAAAATTGAAAAATTAATGGACGATAAGGAGAGAAAGGTGAGACAAAGAATCCTATTATGGAGAAGGTTACAGTGGTACCTCAGTTGACGAACTTAATTTTTCCCATGATTCTGGTTGCAGAATATGCTTGTAATTTGGTTGTGACCAGGATCATGGAAAGAATTAAGTTCATGAACCAAGATACCACTGTTATAGAATTAGAAAAGAAAATGAAAAACAGATTAAAAAAGAGGGAGGGGCCACTGTGTTCTGTGTTCTCTTGCATGGTGGCACAAAACTCAAAGCATGTCAGGTCACATCATCACCTACATTCACCTATTACCTCAAGAATCTACGCTGAACGTGGCTGGGTGCCTGCCTAACTTCCTCACCATGCCCCCCTGCCATGGGCTCTCTCCCTAGGGCTTTGGCACTTGCCACTCCTGACTCTGGAAGCACCCATGCCCCTTCTTGACATTCAGGTTTTGGTTCCAATGTCCCTTCCAGAAAAGGTCCTTCTTTGTACCCCCAGAACCCCAGGACCCCTAGCAGTGTCAGGCACAGACCTAGGGCCCTTATTGCCATCCCCCTTGTGATGTGAACACTATGAGGATAGCACCTGATTGCACCTTTACCCATTTTCTTCACCGCACATTCCCCAAGACCTCCACCAGTGCCTGGCTCGGTGCTAAGGATCAGTCGGAGGCAGTGAGTGGAACTGTGGAACACCCTGACCAGGGCTGCCAGAGGGCTCATCTCTGGGACTCGCTGTTCTGCAGTGTTCCCAGTGCCACCCGAGTACCTCCAACCTTGGAGCAGAGTACATGAGGGAGATGCAGTATCACTCAACAGCATAGCTTCTCTTTGTTCTTTTTTTCCCCCAGTACCAGAGTTCGAACTCAGGACCTCATGCTTGCCAGGCAAGTGCTGTGCCACTGAGATCAATCCCCAGCCTGTTTTTTTTCCTTTTCTCATTCATTCATTTTTGCAGTAATGCAGGGGTACTTTATCACCACTGAGCTACATCTCCTGCCCTTTTTATTTTTTGAGACAGGGGCTAAGTTGCCCAGGTAGTACTTACACTTGTGATCCTCCCGCCTCAGCTTCCCTCAGATCTGGGATTCAAGCATGTGCCACTGTACCTGGCTACAGTGTCTATTTTCACCCCTGAAAATAGGTGCTCTGCACCGAGCCACAGCTATTTGCACCCCTTGTGCAGCAGCACTACTGTACAAGCAAGGTTAAGCCATGAGAGAAATTCTTAGGGCCTCGGGATTGTCAGGCCATTACCGCTTCCCTTAAAATCTTCTTCTCCCTCCTGAGGCCCAAAGCAGAACTCAGGCTGCTAGGACCCTGCCAGGTCCTCTGCCATGCACTGGTGTTATGATGACAGTTAGTAGGGAATAGAATTTTACTTCATCTTCCTCCAGCAACAAGCAGTTTCTCAAGTGTGGCCTGGGGCCAGCGTATGTGGAGACACTCACTGCATCCTGGGATCCTTGGTCCTATGTGTGGCATGTGGATGGGCACTTTTCAGGGAAAGCAGTGCTCCAAAGTCAAATCTGCACAGTTGAGTGGATGGTGCCTGGCTGTCCTGAAATGGGTGGTGGCCACATCACAGTGATGAGACGAGGAGCCTGGGTCCTCACAGCCTTGGTGTGAGTGTTCCCACCTCCTCAGGGAGGAAACACTGCTCTCCAAATTGCACACTGCCTGCCATCTCCCTTCCCAATATAGCAAGACTACAGCGCGTACAGAAGTGTGGTATTGCAGGGTCTCATCAGTTCCTCTGGCAGAGTTTGTTGTTTGTTTGTGGCTCTGCAGATTGAACCCAAGGCCTTCCACTGAGCCGCATCCCCAGCACTTTTTTAATTCTGAGACAGGGTTTTCCTAAGTTGCTCAGGCTGGCCTTGAACTTGTAACCCTGTTGCCTTCACTTGACTAGCTGGGATTATAGGCCTCCCCATCGTCCCCAGCTCTCCAGGGTAGTTTATATGAGCACAGCAGAGAGTTAATCAGTGATATGAGGCACCAGTGACTTGGGAACTATGGAGAGTCGAGGCAGGGTGCCACGGAAATGGAAGTGTGCGGAGGCAACCGAGACACAGGACCTGAGAGGGAGTCTTTATTCTGTTTTTTATACGACACAGGAAGTTCAGTCTCTGAGGTATACTTTCTTATTCTTTTGTGTCCCCTTCCAAAATAACATTATCATTAGTGTTCTGTGTTGTAGATAGTGTAATGAGGATGCTCAGAGGCAGTGGCTTACAGGGCAGTCCCAAGAGACTGAAGACCAACTTTCCAGGCTCTGTATCAAACCCCTCAGCTCTCAGCTCTTTCCCTTCCTCACAGCTTCTCCCAGAGATGCCTCTGGGAGACATGCCTCCAGAGAGGGAAGAGCTGGGTGGTCTGCAATAACCATACATAGCAGGCCTTTCCCAGCACACCATTTACCAAGCTGGGGTGTGGCTGGCCAGCAGGGATAAAGGCTCCTGCTGTCCATGGGTCTAAGTCCGATGCTTTAGCTCCATCTTGGCCACTGTGACCTGGTGGACCTCGTCAGGGCCATCGGCAAAGCGCAGTGCTCGGGCCCAGGCGAAGAACTGTGCCAGAGGGTAGTCGCTGCTCAGGCCTGCTGCTCCAAAGGCCTGGTGGATACAAAGTGGGAAGGGAGGAATTTGAACTCAAAGCATCCTTCTGCCTCAGGCTTTTGAGGGCTAGGATTACACACTTGACCACCATTCCCAGTTTATAGGGTTGTTTTGAAAAGGACACAGAAAATTGCATGCGTAGTGAGTGGATATTGAGGGCAGCTGTCAGGGGTCCACAGACATCATGCAGCTGGAGGTGAGAGTTTCCCATCTGCTGCCACTGGTTTTGACAAACCCACTCACCTGGTCCGTGCTCACCTGAATAGCACGATCAATCACCCGGTAGGCCATGGACGGGGCTACCATTTTAATCATGGAGATATCTAAAGCTGCAGGCTGGAGGGAGGAGATGAGGTTATAAAGAGCCAAGGGGAGACAGCTTGGAAGATCAGTTCCCAAACATACCGGGACTCAAAAGTCAGGGGCCCCAGGGTCCTGCTGGATCATCAGTGCATCTGTAGTACTGGTAACAACAAGGGTGACTCCACATAGAAGGAGGGTGGCTTATGACTTGTAGCTAGACCACAGCTCCATGCTGGGCTGCCTGCCTGTCCCCCCCCTCTTACTGGGCCTGCTGGTGAGGGCATGGAGGCTGTCCAGAGCTGTACAACGCGGGACTCAGCGCGGGCATCGTGCCTGGCCATTCCAGGTGTTGAGAAAGAGCCTTAATGGACAGTGTCACCCTTGGAAATAAGCCCCTCTGTTGGCTGATTCTGTTTGGGTTAGGGCAGGAGAGGGTCCCTGACTCCTGCACCAACATGCCCCAGAAGTCCAGAAAGTTCAGTCCTTTTTGGATTTTGAATGGCTGCCCAAACAGTTCCAAGCAGAATTAAAGTAGTTATTAATGTCAAAAATTCACAGGCTGGGGATTTAGCTCAGTGGTGCCAGCGCCTTCCTTGCAAGCAAGGTCCTGAGTTCGATCCCCGGTACCAAAAAAAAAACCGTCATGGACAGAGGGAATAGATTCTTACACTGTGACTTCGGGACCTCTCTCATCTGGGAAGCCCCTGGAGGGGCCCCTGCGCCTCCTACCTTGTTTCCTGCCACGTCCATGAGGTGGGCGGCCTTCAGCACCAGCAGCCGTGCCTGCTCGATCTCCACTCGAGACTGGGCGATGTTGGCCAGGATTGTGCCCTGCTCCACTAGGGGCTTCCCAAAGGCCACTCGGGTCTTCACCTGTAGACACCACCACACAGAGCGGGGGCCATGCTAGGCTCAAAGTCCATGCTGAGTCGCTAGAGGCTTAAGGGCCTGGGGCCTGTGGGTGTGTGTGGTGGGGCATGCACAGGAGAGGGCAGGTGAGGAGTGCAGGAGCATGCTGTTTCTCAGCCATTCACCAGCTCCCAGCCCAAGCACTTTCCAGGGAGTCTAGAAGGCTGAGGCAGGAGGATCACAAGTTTGAGTCCAGCCTGAGTTACAGAGTGAGACTTGTCTCAAAAAACCCAACAACAGGGCTCAGTGGCACCTCACCTGCCTTGCAAGCGTGGGGTCCTGAGTTCGATCCCGAGTACCAAAAAAATCCCCAACAACAATAAAAAAAAAGAGAAAAAACCCCACAAATTGCTCTCCCAAAGGCTGGCCTGAGTTTCAATACCACATGTGGCTGAACTACCATACCCGAGCCTATAGAGAGGAGCACTTAATTTTTAAAGAAAGAAGAACTGGTCTGTCTCAGCCAAAAACATAAATCACAGGTCTGCTCAGTATTAAAAATGCACCTGATGGCCTCAGTTCTTTGTAGAACATTTCTCACAAGGTTTTTTTTTCTTTTTTTTTTTTTTGGTACTGGGGATTGAACTCAGGACCTTGTGCTTGCAAGGCAGGCGCAGTGCCACTGAGCTAAATCCCCAGCCAGGTATTTGGTTTTTTTTTTAATCAAGGGTTCACTTCACTGTGAAATCAATACAGGTGATGTGAATTCCTGTCCCTGCAAGTGGCTCTTTTACATATGGTTCCAACCTTTGAGAGAGTCATGCAGACTACATTTTCTGGACATGTTGGGGAGGAAGATGGTAGAAAACCTGATGCTGGAATCCCAGGGGCAAAAACAAGCAACATGGTTCTCTCTGGCATCTGATTGTTAGTGCTGAGCCAAAAGCATGCTCTGAGCAGCCAGGGACCCTCTGGGGCTGGGAACCTCACCCCTGGCTGCCAGGGAGCCTGGCCTCTCACTCCTGGTCACTTCAGCAGCCCTTTCTGTTCTCAGTGTCAAGTGGCAGCAAAGTAGCAGATGCAAAGCAAATGTGGGGATGCAGCTTCTCAGCTTCACCTGTTAGTCTGCTCTCAGAAAAGAGTTAGATTTGAAGTCTACCAGCACAGCAGAGGTGGTCGAGTCAGTGTGGGCATGAGGGGGGCACTCACGCGGGACTTCATGAGTGCCAGGGCCCTCTCTGAGGACCCAATGAGCCTCATGCAGTGATGGATCCGGCCAGGTCCCAGCCTGCCCTGGGCAATCTCAAAGCCTCGGCCAGGACCCAGAATCATGTTCTCCTTGGGCACACGCACATGCTCGAATAGAATTTCACCGTGGCCACCTGAAAGACCCAAACATACCACCTGGAACAACTGTCATTCCTGTCTTCCCTGGTTATGCTTCTTCTTTCCCTCAGTTCTGATCACCTGCTGGCAATATTCTTGTCCCTTACTTAGCCTTCTCACTGGGCTAAAGGGGCAGGAAGGAGCCTTTTAAAGATAGGAAAGGAATCACTGATGTATAATGGCAAATAAATATTTTGTCATTTCTTTTATACAAACATAACAAAGCAACCTTAAACTGAAATTCCCTAGCATGCGACTCTAAAAATGTGATCCTCTTGAAGTGCCAAAAGTGAAAATGTGAGCATTGTTGGCAGAGGCACCCTCACCCGGCTCAAAGCCTTTCCTCCAGGACCAGACCCCGTCCCTTAGGAGAAGACCCACCCTCAGTGTGACCCACCCTTGGAGGGCTAACCTGGTGCATCATCCAGCCCATACACGGTTAGAGGCCGGATGACTTTTATCCCAGGGGTATCCATGGGAACCAAGAGCATGGACTGCTGCTGGTGTTTTGGGGCCTGTGGGTCTGTTTTCCCCATAAACATGCAGAGCTGGCAGCGCGGATCCATGACGCCTGCCAGGAAAGGAGAGACAGGTCCCATTAGCTGACACCAGGGTTACCATGTCTCTGTTCACATGAGATCCTGGCCCAGGATAGGCTGGGCCAGCACCAGACAGAGCTCTGTGGGACGTGACATCATCAGATGGGCATTTGTGGGCTCCAGACAAAAAATAAAGCAAACTGAGTTTTGTCCTAGTGAGGCATAAATCTAGCATCATAAGAGCAAATATTTAAGAAGCATCACATTAGAGTTAAAAATATAATTTAGAGATAAGACACTGAAAACTGGTACTTCATCCCTGCTAGCCTATAATGACTCTGGGCACTGGCCTTGGAGTCAAAACAATCTTGAACTCTGGGTTCCTTACTTGCCAGCTGTGGGGTGGAACCTTAGGCAAGTGATTTCATCACTCTCTGAGCCCTGTTTTCCACCGCTATCAAATGAGAATGATAACCCCTCACTTCTGGGGAAGTGTGGTGGGGTCCACAGAGTGCTTATGGGGGGTTGGCCTGAGGGCTAGGCTGTTCCTAGCCCTTAGGTATAACACACCTGCCTTAGGTGTAAGAAGCCATGGAGGAAGTGACCTTATGCCCTTTCAAGGGAGCTGCTGGGGGAGAATGAAGTGAGCAGAGTGAGTGAAGAGGCTCCCAGAGCCATGTGTAGGAGGAGATGGCCACAGGTGTGGGTGTCTGGTGATGCCTCCCCCTACAGGCAGCAACTGAGAGCAGCACACCCCATGCAGCAAATTCTTGTTCTCTTAGTGTCTGCTGCCTCTGTGGGGGGCCTGGTGACAGAATCTCTGTAGTGTCAATTGAGAAAAAAAGAGACTGTCCCCTTTCTACTATCAAGAGACCTGCTTGTTGATACAGACTGAATGACATGTACTTGAAAAGCAAATTTCAGGCCAAATACCTGAAATCCACCACTTGTGACCGTTTATGACATAGAAGCCATCTTCCTCTCTGACGGAAGCCTCGATGTTGGTGGCATCTGATGAGGCAACCTACACAGGGGCACATTCCTGTTAGAGCTGCCAGTGTCCCTTGTTCCCCAAAGGCAGAGCCCTGTAGGGGCTCAGCAGGTGGGGACAGTCCACGCCAGGTACCTGGGGCTCAGTCATTGCAAAACAGGAGCGGGTCTTGCCTTCCAGCAGAGGGGTCAGCCAACGGGCCTTCTGCTCTTCAGTGCCATATCGCACCAGGACCTCCATGTTTCCTGTGTCAGGGGCAGAGCAGTTGAATATCTGAAAAGAAAAAAGAGCACTTGGTGATGCCCATTCCCATGCTGAGAATGTCTCTTTCATGTCTCAGACCCCCCCCCCCGTTACAACTCAAGGGGTCCTTGAGTTTGGAAATAGAACCCCAGACTGTGAGGTTCAGCTGTCTGACAGCTGTCTGACAGGAAGGACTGGAGTTAAGAGCCTGAGGCCCAAGTGACTACTATGGACTCAGGAGACCCCAACCCAAGATCCTCTCTTGCTCCAGCTCTAGCTCCAGCTAGCTGCCTGCAGTTGTTCTCCCTCCCAATAAGATGTTCAAGTTCACATCAGTGCCCCCAAATCAGACTGTGTGTGCAGGAGGGCAACCAACAAGGCGTGAGGAGATCTTCCCACAGAGGGCTAGCATGCTAGGGTGCTGAGGAAGCTTCAGAGAAGGTACCTCGGGAGCATACAGCGACATGCCCATGACTTCACAGAGGTGTGCGTACTCCACGTTGGTTAGTCCTGCTCCGTATTTCTTCTCGGGGTCAGTCTCCAAGGGTAGGAAAAGGTTCCAGAGTCCTTGGGCCTTGGCTTTCTCCTGTCATGGGAAAAGCAAGTTGGAAGCCCTGCAACTGACAGTTTTATTCTGATCCAGGGAACACAATGAAAGGAACTGGAAGGAAGAAGGTGGCAGCCATAGATACAGAGTGTGCCAAAAACAAGGATACTGGCTGATATGAGCCTGTGGATGTGTGGGTGGCATAAACACAAGATGCACCTGACTGGGAGACTCCGGAGAAGAGATTTCCTCTCTGGATTTGTTTCTTATCTGTGAAACAAGGATGTACCCATCCTCCCATTAGGACCACTGAGCTGAAGCCACAGAAACAGATGGCAAGTAACTAAAGGAAAGAAAAAAAGGATGGCGAGGGAAGCTTAGCTGGAGCTCCAACACTGGATAGGGAGATTAGAGAAGGCGGCTCAGAAATGGACGGGAACTGGACAAGATGTTTGACAGTCCTGCCAGGACCCTACTGCTGTGCAATGGTTGAGCACCAACTGTTTTCCATCTGGAAAACACTCCTCCTCCTTCTAATTCCAGGAAGGGAAAATCTGGCTGGCCTAGCTTGGCTCTAGTGCCCACTTCTTGCCCAAGCAGGGCCAGGCTGGTACCTTAACTGACAGTTCTGCCAGAATGTCTCCAAAGAGGAGGAGAAATGTCCCTAAGTAAATAAAACCAGGATGCTGATACCAAGAAAGTGGGGAGTGGATACCTGGTAGTCCAAATCCAACCAGGTCCACAGCACACACCTTCCTGGGTTTTTGTGAAGACTGGATGAAATAACAGAATATAAATAGCCTGCCACAGAAGTCAGGGGTTACAATGAGTAGTGGAGATTATGGACATAATCATTCTCCTGGCTGTTTCTCCCTGGGAGGATACCAGCTGTCTGCTCTGTGCTTCTAGAATCAATAGCTGACTTTCCTCGCTATTTGCACTGAGCTAATTAGTACAAAGCATAATGACTAAGGATAAAAAGCACAGATTCACTGGAACAAATAAAGGATGGGAAGGGAGGAGGAGGAAGTGAGGGAATTCTAAGAGGAGGCAGTAAGAGGAAGTGGATATAATCATCTGCTTGTAGGAGGGGAGAAGACCAAAACCTCCTGAATTTGAGTTGGAGAGCTAGATTTAAACCCAGGTGCTATTAATGCTAGCTGTGTACCCTGCACAAATCCTTTTCCTTACCCTTATTTTATTTATTTATTCATTCATTCATTCATTCATTCATTCATTTATTTATTTATTTATTTATTGGTACCACGGATAGAACTCAGGTCCTTGCACTTGCGCAGCAGGTGGCGAAACCACTGAGCTAAATCCCTGGCCCTCCTTACCTTTAAATTGAAGACAATAATGCTTGTATCACAGGATTTCTGAAAAGCATGGGAAACAGCCAAATACTACTTCTCATTTATGCCATTTTGGATAAAAGTGATGAGCTATGATTTCATCATTCTACCCCAAAATCTTGGTTACCATTATGAATCCCTTCGGGTGTGACTATAAGGAGAATGTGTACCACACTAGGTGTTTACTGTGCTACCACAGGCTTGGCTTTTCGAGTCTGGAGGTGTTCACCCCCTGAGTACAGTAACCACTTTCTCCATCTGTTGGGCTATCAGATGGGCAAGGGTGAAGCGTGCTGTCCAGCACGGGGGGGGGGGAAGCATTTCACGTGGAAGTGATGGGAGTGTGACTTGGTAAATACCTTGCAGTTGACGATTTGGTAATGTTTATTAAGTATGAACGGTCTTGCTAGGGTTTGGACCTGGAATGTTCCCCAAAGACACATACATTAAAAGCTTGCTCACTGGTTTAGAGTTCTTGGGAGGTGGTGGAAACTTTCAGGGGTGAGGCTTAGTGGGAGGCCTTGGAATCACGGGGGATGAACCCTCAAAAGGGATTGTGGGATCCTGGTCTCGTCCTTTCTCTTTCACTTTCTGCTCATGAAGTGAACATCTCGCTGGGTGCTACATGCACCCACCATAATGTGCCAAAGAAACATAGCCAACCTATCAGAGTGAAACCTCTTAAACTCCCTCAAATAATCCCTCTCTCTTATTAAGTTGACTGTTTCAGGTATTTTGTTATAGTGATGGATAACTAACAAATATCTCATTCATGAACCACTTTTTGTTACTTGAAAGAATTTATTTTGTATGCCAGGTGTGGTAGTGCGCACCTGGCACTCTGAGGCAGGAGGATCACAAATTCAAGGCCAGCCTGAGACTGTCTCAAAATAAAAATTTAAAAATGGCTGAGGAGGAAAGGGCCAGAGATTTAGCTCAGTGGTGCCACTGCCTGCCTCACAAGCACAAGGTCCTGAGTTTGATCCCCAGTATTAAAAAAAAAAATGGCTGAGGAGGAAAAAACAGAAACAAAATTTTTGCAAATAGGGAGGGGGGAGGGAGAGGGATTGAAGGGAGGGCGGGGGAATGGGGAAAAATAAGAACCAAGATATATCATGTACAGGTACAAATTCCCAATGATGAATGTCATCATATTGTACACCTAAAATGTACCAATAAACTTAATTTTAAAAAATGGCTGAGGATGTAGTTCAGCGAGAAGGCCTTTGGTTCAATCCTCATACTGGAAAAAAGTGGGGGGAGAAAAAGGAAAAAAAGCTGGCTTCTCTAGGCAGAAGGCCCTGCTTTGCCCTGTGGCCTGCCTTCTCTTCTACTGTCTTCTAAAGCCAGCTCCCCTGTGTCCCTGTCAATAATACCACTGTCTGATGTCTTGTGATGGTTAAGTGACCCAGAGTTGGCTTTGATGGCTTGCACCTGGACTGGCTACTGTTATCACAAGGCACAGTGGCCTTCAACCAGGGGCAGGGCAAAATATGGGGTATCCATACTGTAGAACCCTTAGAGGTTGATCTCCATGTGTTTCCATGAATCTAAATTTAAAAAGCAGCTGGTAGACTTGAATGTATAAAAGAATTTCACTGAAACATAGGAATGATATATGATATATGATAGGTCTCCCATTACCTCAGCAGCTATTATGTATAGTAGCTGCCCTCTTCCTATCATGCCTTGCCCCCTCCCCTGTGTGACATTATGCCAAGATGGTTGCTCCCACCAAAGAACAAACCCTTCTTCCCAGCATGCCCCTGTTCCCGCCTAGAGAGTAACCTAATATTCGGTCACCTTCTACCAGCTAGTGACGTCACTGGCTCCTCCATTCCCTAGTCACTACCTCACTCAACCCTGCCTCAGCCCCTACAAACCTCACCCCAGTCTCCTATAAAAGACTCTCCCTGCCCCGGCCATATTGCTTTTGTCTCTCCTCTGTTCAGAGACAGCTCGGCAGATCTATTCCCCTAATAAAGGCTTGTCGTGGCCTGGTCTGGTCTTGGTTTTCGGCCCTTTTACCTGACAATATACTTACCACGAAAAGGAAATGTTGGGAGCATAATATAACAAATTGTTGACAGCGATTACCTCAGAGGGCAGAGAATTTTGGGGAACTCTTTTCTTTTTGTGGAATTGGGGCCCTACACTGAGCCACATCCCTATTTCTCTTTTTTTTGAGACAGGGTCTCACTAAGTTGCCCAGGCTAGTCTCAAATTCACTATCCTCCTACCTCAGCCTTCCAAATATCTGAGATTTCAGGTGTGTGCCACCATGCCCAGTTTTGACAATGCTAGTTTTTAGAAAAGTAGATGATGATTGCATTGTGCTCCTAAAGACCCCAACTTAAAAACCAACTCAATCCAAGGTTAACCCTGACAAAGAATAGCAGGCATTTCTGTTTACCAGCTAAAGAGCAATCACTGAATTCAACATCAGACAGCTTACAATTCATTGCCCTTGTGGCTTGATAGTATAGATTCTCTAGAAAGAGAGACTTTATCCTCAATATAGTATGCAGTTTCAAATCTGCATAGTAGAAGCCCACCTGTCCCTGCTTTCTAAGCCAAAGACAGCATTCCTCTTTCACACAGCAAGAACACAGGACAGGTGGGCACTGTAGCACACACCTGGGAGGCTGAGGCAAGAGGATCACCACAAATGTAAGGCCAGCCTGGACTACTTAGCAAGCCCGTCTCAAAAACAAACCAACTACACACACACACACACACACACACACACACACACACACACACACACACACACACACACACACACACGCTGGGTAATGGGGAGCTGGCTCTTTCAGATGATGGTGGAAAGCCAGGACAATTCTGCTCTGTCCACCTGTCTCTTCCCCACCTGGCAAGCACAGATATGTGGGGTCTGCCATGTTAACAAGGCAACCCCAACTCTCTCACAGGCTACCTGACCTTAAGGTCTTCTATCAGCGGGGATGGGGTCCATCTGTCCACCGAGGCCTGGTGTCTCTGCAGCTGAGGCTCCAGGGGATACAGATGCTGTTCCATAAACTGCTGCAGCCGATCATACAGGTCTCTGGCATGTGGGGAGAGGCCTTCTACTGAGAAGACCAGTGCTCCCTTTGAGGCATGCGCTGGGGGAGCTTCCGGGGCAGAGCTGTAGTTTCTTGTTCCCATGGGACTCAGCAGCGACCATGGACCACCCCGAGTGTGGCAGGACCTTGTTAACGGTTTGGCAGCTGGCATCTCTTTGAAAACTCGGAATCCTTCTTTAGTTGCAAAATCCCATGCCAGGTTAGATATGAATTCAACCAGCTTTCCACTTTGCTCAGCGTTTGCTGAGCTTGCCTGCCCTGAACAGAAGGAAAGAAAACTAGTGATTACTCTTAACCAACCCTTCCTAACAAGGGCGACCTGTGATATGATGATCATTCCATTAGCATCCACTCCCAGAGCCTGAACACTTGCTATGTACCAGATGCTGTGCTGAGAACAATTAGAACTCACTGAATTCCCAAAGCAACCCAACTGTTTGAATCCCCACTTTGTGGACAAGGAAACAGAATCTTTTTTTTTTTTTGGTACCAGGGATCGAACTCAGGTCCTTACGCTGAGAGGCAGGCTATAGAACCACTGAGCTAAATCCCCAGCCCAGGAAACGGAATCTTAAGAGACAGAGATAACTAGCTCAAGCTGTAGGTCAGCAGGCCAGGAACTAGAAGACAAACTTGGGTTTGCCTGCACCCTGCTCTCCACCTCTTCTTCTCCTCCAGAGTCAGTGGCAGCCTGAGTCACTTCTGCTGAACCAGCAGCTGTAAGACATCTTGCAATATCCTAGACCAGCCCTACTAGGAATTTGACAGCAATGTCAAGATTGAGTGGATGAATGGCCAGTTTCTAGGCCCCATCTTGTCTGGATCAATAATCAAAGACTAGGAAAAAAAAATTTAAAAAAAAATTTTTTTTGTTAAATTCTTTTATTGGTACATTTTAGGTATACAACACAATTACATTTCTCTTTGGGAACTGTACCTTTACATAATGCATCTTGGTTCTTACTTTTTCCCCATTCCTAGCACTCCCTTCACCCCCTCCACCCTTCCCTATTTACAAAGACTTTATTTCCATTAAAAAAAATCAAAATTAGGGGCCAGGGATTTTGCTCAGTAGTGCCGCTGCCTGCCTTGGAAGCACAAGGTCCTGAGCTCAAGCCCCAGTACCAAAAAAAAAAAAAAATAAAGACCAGCATTACAGAGCTCACTCACATTTAACTCTCACGGTCCTCTTTTTCATCTATCACCAACTTCTTTTTTCAGTACTGGGAATTATTGCATACAGTGCACTAAGCTATATCCTCAGCCCTTTATTTTTCATTTTAAGATAGTATCTCACTAAATTGCCCAGGCTAGGCTTGAACTCCTGATCCTCCTGGCTCAGCCTCTTAAGTGCTGGGATTACAGGGGTGTGCCATCTGGCTAAAATGGGTAATTCTTTATAAGCACAAGCTATAACACTATTCCCCCCCCTGCCCCCCAGTCCTTGGAACAGAACAAAGAAAACACAGCAGCCCTCCAGGAAATGTTTCGGGTTAGCTTTAACTGCAAAGCTATAACCAACAAGGGGAATGGTGGCTTCTCAGAGCTAAGCTACCAATTCCAAAGGAGGGAAAGCTATTGTTTCTATGCATTCCTGCTTGTGAGAGCCCTGCTCCTCTGATCGGTTGTTGGGAGCAATGCTACATAATTCTTGGGAAAAATCATTTGAGTAGGCCTAGTTCTCCTGCCTACAGGCCAGCTACGACATTCCAGACATAATTGCATTTTGGCCTCGGGTCACAACTGAGACCTCAGTGATCCCCAGATGCTGTAATGTGCCAGGACAAGACCACACCTGCGGGAGATGCCAGGGAGGAACCAAATCTTCATCTGCATAGTTCCTCATCGTTCTTAGATTTCCACTGGCCCCCAGTCTTTTTACACCTTGTTTATCCCAATGTAAAGTACTGAACTCTGCACTTTCACTTGTTACATCTGTTTCCCCATGGACTGAATAAAAAGTGCTGCAAGCTAGGGGGCTTTTGTCTTTGCTACCCAGAGCAGCACTGATCAGACCCAAAGCTCAGCTTCTTCTCCTTTGTCTACCTTTCCTGTAATTCGCCGTGTGCTGCCGTGGCTCGCAGGAGACTAGGATTTACTACAGAGGTTCTGGTAACGTCCCCTTCCCCTGTTCCTTACAATCGGTGAGGGTGAATTGGAAACCCTCTAGACACTGTTTTGCTGGTGAAAATGGACCATGTGCCAGGTGCTGGCACTGAAGAGAGGCTCAGAGACTTGGGAATGAATGAACCAATGGCCAATGGCCCCACAGCATCTGCCTCTCTCTGAAGAATGTGGCAACCTGAACATGAAACTTGCTGCCAGCCAGCACGGGGTGTCCCCAACCAGGAAGCTGAGGACACCCCACAGTACTCACAAACCCACTAATGCATAGCTTTCTTCCTCTCTTTTGTTTTTTATTTTTATTTTTCATTTTTGGAAAATGCAAAGATATACATACAGGAGTAGAGAGAAGAGTGTGATGAGCCTGCACGTGTCCATCATTCACCTTCAACATGATCAGTGTCTGCACAATCTTGTTTCATTCCGTTATCCCCACCCCCCCACCCCGATTTTTCTGCAGTAAAACCCAAATGTCATATTAGGTCATCTGGCAATGTTTCATTTATATCTAAAGACAAAACCTTAAAAAAAACACAGTAACATTATCACACTTAAAAAATAGCTAACTAGGGCTGGAGATTTAGCTCAGTAGCACCGCACCTGCCTGGCAAGTGCAAGGTCCTGAGTTTGATCCCCAGTTCCGAAGAAGAAGAAAAAAGCTAACTACCCAGGTGTGGTACACTGGTACCCAGGTACATAGGAGGCTGAGGCAGGAGGACTGAAAGTTCAAGCCCAGCCTGGGAAACTCAGCAAGACCCTGTCTCAACACAAAACACCAACAACAAACAATAAAAAAGGAGCTGAGGATATAACTCAGTGGTATAGCACCCCTGGCCTCAATCCCCAGTAATGTGTACACACACACACACACACACACACACAGAGTTAATACTTCCTTAATATTGTTAACAATACAATCAGAATTCAAGTGTCACTCTAGCATAAGATGAGTGTGTGTGTGTGTGTGTGTGTGTGTGTGTGGTCCTGAGGATTGAACCTAAGGCCTTCACACTGAGCTATGTTCCCAGGTCCTTTTTTTAAATTTGGAGATGAGAAGTCTCACTAAGTCTCACTAAGTTGCTAAACTGCTCAGGCTGGGTTCCAACTCGGGATCAAAGTTGTCTCAGCCTCCCAGATGCTAGAATTACAGGTGTGTGCCACATGACCAACCAAGAAAAAAAATTTTTTAAAGACAATTTGTTCAAGCAAAGATCCAAATAAATTAATGTCTTTTAGTCTCTCCTCCTCTGCTTCCTTTTTCATTCTCTCCCACCCCCTTGACATGTGAAGAAACTGAGGTATTTGCCCTGTGAAATTTCCTACAATTGCTTTTGCTATACCCTGCAGCCCTACTGACTGTGTCCTCTGAATCCCATGCATTCTATGAGTGTGTAGTCAGTGATGGAGATGTGGGCAGAATCGGGTTTGACTCTGGGGGAAGCTATGAGGCGTATGTCATGTCTGGCTGTCTCTGTCTTTCTTGGTGATGTTAGCGCAGGGTCAGGCTTCCTATACAACTCTGTTGTTTGTTTGTTTTGGGTTTCTTTGGTACTGGGGATCGAACTCAGGACCTTGGGCTTGCCAGGCAGGTGCGGTGCCACTGAGCTAAATCTCCGGCCCCCTAACTCTGGGAATACATTCCAGGCTGCAAAATGGCAATAATCTAGTTCTATCATTCTTTCCAGGACATTCTCTAGAGTGAAATGTTCCCTCGTCAATTATTTGGTTAGCCTAAGGTAGAGGAAAAGCAGGATAAATGCTTGACCTTTTTTCCCATTTGCCAACTTTCAGAATGAGTGGTTTCCATGACATAGTCCTAAGTCACCAATGTGACTTCATCTCCATTTTGTGTCACTGGTTACCTATGGATCTTAAAGTCCTTGGGTTTGCATCCATTTCCACTAGCATCTTTATTGATGCTCTGACTCCTGTTATCAAGTGGGAGCCAACTCAGGCCATCTCCTGAATCTTTGGATTTGACCCTTGTGGTTTTCGAATAACATCTTTGCCTGTTGCAGGTTCATTTCATAGACACCCTGCCAATGAGACCTGAAAGGATCCACTTCCAAGAAGTCCTGGTTCCTCTGGTGGGAATGCTATCTAAAAATTCCAATGTGGGTACAAGGGGTATTTCAAGACTCTCTTTCAAGCTGTGGTGTAGCTCAGTGGTAGAGCCTTTGCCTTGCACTCACAAAGCCCTGGGTTCTATCCCCAGCCCAGCAAAAGAACAAAAAAAGAAAAAAGCCTTTCTTTCTACCTGCTTTCCCTCCTATATATAGGAGGCAAACTTTACCTACCCTTCAATCTTCTTAAATAGCTTTATATATTATTTCTTCGATCCTGGTACCCTCCCCCCCAAAAAAAGACCAAGTGGAATATATATTATTTTACTTGCTACCCTATAAATTTTAGAATTAAAACACTTTTCCACCCCATATATATTTGTAAACACTCTATACACACTACACGTAGACACACACAATCAACAGTCAGTTTCAGTGGCAATACCTTTTTTTCTCACACATTCCAACTTAAAAGGTACAATCTAGAACTCTCAGTTAGCTAAATAAAGTATTTTCCCATGTAAAAGCAACATCAAAGAAACACAATTACACCACCCCCAACCTAGCAGCTTTCTTACTAGGCAATTTGACAACATCTATAAAAATCTCAAATGCTCATATTTTTAACCCAGAGATTCCAATTCTGGGAATTTATCCTGGAGATACATTCACATGTGTATGAGAAAAGATGTTCACCAGCAACTATGTGTGGCTGCAAAAATCTGTAAGCAATAGAAATACACACTTACAGGGAAACATTAAACAAATGACAGTCTATCCATACAACTGAATGTGCTAGAGATCGAAAAGAATGATCTAGATCTGTGTCACATGGAAAGTCTCTATTAAATACTGTTATGTGAACAAAGAAAGCAAACAATTTGCTATATATAGTTATTAAATATATATTATATCCACACACATATTGATATTTTATAGTAATTCTTAAGGATAAAGAATTTTAAATCAAGGTACTAGAAAATACACATAGGATGATCGCATAAGCATAGAAGAAAGATGGACAGAGGGAGTAAAAGACAGATGTACAGAAGAAATTTCAGGGAAAACATCCTTTCTCTCACATGTGTGATTATACCTGGAGGATAAATTGCCAGACTTAGAATTCTAGGTTGTTTTTGAGGGATGGTTTTAAGAAGAAAAGAAAATAATTTTATACTGTTTTATGTGACTTAATTTTTATCACGTGGATGTATGCTTTTACTGAAAAACATTGTGCATTATTTGAACTATTACAAAACCAAGAAAAGGGCCGGGGATTTAGCTCAGTGGTTTCGCTGCCTGCTGCGCAAGTGCAAGGACCGGAGTTCGATCCCCGGTACCAAAAAAACAAAGAATATTTTAAAGAATAAATATCGCTATGGTTGGGCCAGGGATTTAGCTCAGTGGCACAGAGCCTGCCTGGCAAGTTTGAGGTCCTGAATTCGATCCCTGGTACCAAAAATAAATAAATAAATAAATATATATATATATTGCTATAGTTTGTGTTTAGATGTTGCCTCCCAAAGTCTCATGCAGTCATAGGTGGGGGTTTTTCAGAGGTGGCTGAATCCAGAATGTGTGACTGATTCACGGTACAATGCTAGGATTAAGGGTGGTGGGATTGAGGGTGAGTGATTACTAAATCAGCCCACTGATTGGTTTGGCACCACCCTAATCTCCCTAGCCTGGATATAATATAAGAGACAAAAAGAGGCTCATCTTCCTCCCTTGCTTGCTTTGCTATCTTCTGTCCACCATAAACTGTTTCTCCTGTGTGATGCCTGCCATGCCACCCTGCTTTCAAGACAGCCGATTAGAGATTGAAACCTCTACAAACTGTGAGATAAAGAAACCTTTCCTCCTTTAACTTTGGGTGTTGGGTATTTTGTCTCAGCAACAAGAAAAATAACTAATATATATTTATATGTGTGTGTGTGTGTATATACACATACATATACATACACACACACACACACACACACACACACACACACACACGCACGACAAATGATTAGATTAATAGAATCTTACAGAATTCTGGCCTAACAGCTCCTACCAAAGCCTCTGTGGCTGGGGAAGGGATCCAGGTGGCAGAGCTGTCATGGCTCATCCATCAACCTGGCCACTCCATTACCCGTCTAGGTAAGCCTAGGCACGACATTACCCACCTGGATCAGCCTAGCCACCCCATTACCTGTCTAGGTCAGCCTGGCCACCCATTCATTACCTTTGAGTGATCGCTTGTAGACTCCTTGTAGGATTGCAGCCACACGGAAAAAAGAGAAAGCCATATAGAAGTTCCAGTTCTTGATGGGAGAGATGCCCATGTGAAGGCAGTACATCCTCAAATACTCCTCAGCAGTAGGTATGCCAAGCTGGGTCAAATCCCAATCCCTGACACCTGTGGTAGAGACAGAGACACTGGGGATGTAGCTCAGTGGCACAGCATGTGCTGAGTATGCACGAGGTCTTGGTTTCTGTCTCCAACACAAAACACAAAGTGCTGGAAGAACTGTCCCACTAAATTAGGGGCAAAGATAATTTCAACAAATTAAGATTCTCAGTGCTTTGTTTCATTTGTGATATTTTGATGATATACAAGCACAAATACATTCCATCCTTAGGACCTGATTCTTATATAACAGCAAAAATATTACCACAAAGATGTTCAATGGTTTTTTGGTGGGGTTTGGGCATCTTATTAAAAAAGCAGGTTGAGTATTCAAAGAGGAAGTAAATCAGATGTCTTCAGTTAATTTTATATGATAAAATCCAATGCTGTCATTAAAAATTAAGCTGCAGGAGAAATATTTAAAAGCATCAAAACATGTTCAAAGTATACAATTAAGGAAAAAAAGGTTATAAAATGATATAATCACATTTTTGTTTTAAAAAATGTACATATACACACAGAAGAAAAGACGACAAGGACAGATACTGAAATGTCACCAAGTGGTTATCTCTGGGACTACTAGTGATTTTAACTGGGTTTTATTTTGCTATCTGTTGGCCCTAATGTTTTTTATAACAAACTTGTATTTGTTGTAAAACCTTTTTAGTTTAAAGTGTTAAGTAGAAGTCAGCTGTGTGAGAGCACAAGAGGAGTCTCTAAGAGTGTATTTGTCACTTACCATACATCCTATATTTATTTCCCCCTGAATGTGACAAGAACACATTCTAATGACATTTTCTACCTAAACCACCAGGACACCCCAGCCCAATCACAAATGACTTTAGCCAAGTTCATTCCCAAACGCTTGGTGAATGGAGCCAGCCCCATCCCTGTCTGTCCCTAGCAGCGGGTCCTACCTTTCAACAAGGGGAAACTGGATGGCAAGTAGTGAGCCAGGCAGCTGTAGGCCACATCAGCAAGGGGATCACCTAAGGTAGAAAGTTCCCAGTCAAGGACAGCAACTACCTCAGCCTTTTCCGGATGAAAGATCAGGTTGTCCAGCCTGAAAAATCACAGAAGAAATGGAGAGACTGCTCTAAGAACACTGACCATGGGGTGTGCTCTGGCCCAGGTGTGGTCTGCTTGCCCTTCCTGGCTCACTCCCCACCTTCCCTGGGCTCTCTCTGCAAGGGCCTGAGACACATGGGCTGTGCCCTTTTTCTTTTTTTTGGTACTGGGGATCGAACTCGGGTCCTTGCACTTGCGCAGCAGGCAGTGAAACCACTGAGCTAAATGCGCCGCCCATGTGCCCATTTTTTGAGGGCCCCTTGGTCCTCTGATTTCCAGCTGGACTTAGCAATCAGAGTCACCAGCAGGAGATGGAAGCGGGCCTAGCTACTTATTCCCCCAGCTCCCTCTGCACAGAGCTGAGGATTAGCTGAGTCTCTCTACCGAGGGACACAGCTGTGGCCAGGCAGTCCTCCCATTCCATCTACCCTCTCTGGGTTCTGGTAATAACGCCCTCCCACCCTGTGATGGTTTTAAACAATCTGCATATTCTTTGATATGCTTGCCACAAAAGGTAGAATCTAAATCTTCACTCCTGAATCATTTGGCTTCTAACAAATATGAAGTATAAGCAAGCGATGCTGCAGGTATCTATGCACTAATCCAGGTCAGAAAAGGTGACACAGCTTCCACTCTTGGAACATACACCTCTGGAGCCCGAGCCACCAGGGAGGAAGTCCAGCTACCCAGAAGCCACCATGCTAGGGGGAGCTGTGGGAAACTACAAAGCTACAGGGTATTGCCTGAGAAGCCCAGCTGTTTGTGCCTTCTCTGCCCCAGGATCAGCATATAAGTGACCCAGCACAGGATTCCAGCATAGCATGAGAGCTGTCCCAGTGAAATAAGCTGCTCCATCCCCAAACTGCAGACGCCTAGCAAAATAACTTGTCACTGTCTCCAGACACTCAGCTTTGGAGCATCTGAATAGCTGGAGTATTAATAGCTGTAGTAACAGCTGGAGAAGGCTGGTCCCTTCAGACCTGGGATGGTAAAGACTCCCCACTATTGCTAAGCTTAGGGCTCCTAGCTGTTCAGTTGTTCCTCTAAACCATGCTGCATCCCTGTGTTAAACTCTCCTCCAATGGCCCCTTTGAGTTTTCTGCCACAACTCTAATGCATGCTCTATTTAAAAGAAAAAGTAATGATCAAACATGCAAAAAAAACACGGAGAAAGATAAATAGACTCATTGTGCCCATCTACATAATTCAACAGATGTTATATCTCCTTGTTATATTGCCTCCAAATTTCTAAAACACAAAACTTTACAGAAAGCAGGTGTAACAGCACACACTTGTAATCCCAGAACTGGGGAGACTGAGGCAGGAGGATTTCCTCAGTTCCAGGCCAGCCTGGGCTACATAGTGAGTTCAAGGCCAGCCTGAACTACTGTCTCAAAAAAACCAAAGAAAAACTTTGCAGATTTAGCAAATGGCCTCCATCTATTTCCTCCTCACCTTTGTCAAAGATAAGTGCTACCCTAAAACTGGTATATATTAATCATAGTTATATTTCTCCTTGCTTTGCATGTACCTATAAGCCATACACAGCATGCTTTCATTTCTTTTTAAATTTGTATAAATGATATGACACTGTATATATCCTTTTGGAGCTTATCTTTTTCTACTCAGAATTATCTTTCTGAGATTTATGATGACTTATTACAGCACATTAGTTTATCTTACCTGCTAAACAGAATTCCATCATATAACCTAACCAGAGTTTATCATATGTTACAATTACAAGCAAAAGCACAATTCTTTTTTTTTTTTTTTTTTTTTTTTTTTTTGCAGAACTGGGGATTGAATCACTTCTTGGCCTTTTGGCTAAGATCAAGTGTAGTACTGGGGACTGAACTCAAAAGCCTTCTCACTGAGCTACATCCCCAGCTCTTTTTTATTTTGAGATAGAATCTGGCTAAGTTGCCCAGGCTCGGATCAAACTCAGGATTCTCCTGCCTCTGCCTCCCTGGGTGCTAGGATTACAGTCATGTACCACCATGCCCATTTATAATTCACTCTTTGCCAAGTCTCCTGGTGCACAGGTGCAAATGTACCTCTAGAAAAGGAATTATGGGATGTAGCATCTTCCTGTCTTCTATGTTACTGGCTGTTATTTTCAAAGTAGTTGTACAAGTTTATGCTCCCACTACCACTGATTCACTGCATAAGCAAGAAATGTTCTTCCATCTAGCAACAGATGGGAGTGTCTTCAACTCTAAGTGTGGATCAATAAGTGGCAGTACGTCTCTAAAATCTGTGATGCCTTTTCAGAAAGCATCACTGGAAAAGATCGTTCTACTTCATGACAGCTTGGTGAAGAGGTTCCCAGACAGCCACCAGATGTCTCCTGCCTGCCACTGTACTTAATCACATTTGTGGACATTTGAGGTGCGAAGACAGGCAAAGCCCAGGTCCACAGAACAGCTGTTGTGAGCTGGGAGTCCAAAGGCCACCTGCTACTCTTTCCCACCAAAGAGTCTGGGTTTTGTTATTGGCAAGGTCCTCTGGTGCCCAACTGGAGGGAGAAGGAAGAGGGGGTCAAATGTAGCCTGGCTGCCTGCCAAGTCCAAAGCAGTATGGGGGAAATGACTCTGTCCAGTTAGTCAGAAACTGCGGCAAGATCAGATGGATCCTAGTTCTGTGGGTGATCAAATGGTGTAGTCAAAGCCCAGCCTTTCACTCTGGGATTCAAGAGGATCACCAATGTCAGCTAGAGGAACGAGCTGGGAGTGACAGGCCCAGTCAAGCCAGCAAAGAAAGACCAGTCTTATTTGGAAAGCAAAGAAATGTCTTTATAATTAGGTTTACTGTCAAGCTTTGTACAATAAAAGGCCCAACTGGGCTGAGAATGTAGCTCAGTGGGTAGATTGTGTGCTTAGCATGTGTGAGGTCCTGGGTTCAATCCCCAGCACAAAATACACATACAGAAAAATAAAATACAGTCACAGCTCCTCAGGGTGGGCAAGAAAACTACTAAATGGTTAGAGCCCAAATAAGCAGTGTATGTATCCAAACCAGGCCTCCAGGAGCTGCTGGGAATCAGACAACACTGTAAGAGCTGCCCAAGTGCATCCAAGGAGGTGTTCTCAGCAGGGTCCGTAAGCTAAAGACCCAGGGTGCACTCAGCTCCCACTTCTAGCTGGGCTGCAGACTTAACAGGAACCCTGGAAACCATGTCCTCCCTGTCCATCACCAACCTATAGGATTTAAGAGGCTCCCTCCTCTGCCTGACCTTCAAACTGCAGTTGTCTTTGCAGAGTAATGCTGTCTTCTCAGGGGACAACGTCTATAGGCAAGTTTGGTGGCCACAGCTTGGAGGGAGGTGCTACTGTCACTAAGTCAGTAGAAGCTAAGGATGATCCCTGGCCTCCTATAAAAAAAGAGCAGCTTCCATGACAAGGAGGAACTTAGTAATGAGAATAGTTCCCATCTGTAAACTGGACCAAGACCAATGGCTTAATTTCCCCTTGGAGTGAGTGCCCTGGCATCATCTGAAACATCTGATATCCAGCCCCCTGGTGGCTGTGTCTACCTGAAGTCCCCATGTACCACTGTGGTTCTCTGTTTCCTGGGAAGATGGAGAGGCAGCCACTGGATGAGCCTCTCCATCGCAGGTATGGTGCTGGTTTCTGTGGCTCGGTACTGCTTTGTCCAGGTTTGTACCTGGCGAAGAAGATAGTCCCCTGTGGGAGAGAGGATTAAAACGTTGTGTGCCATTTCCACTCCGCCCCCCAAGGTTTCAAAAATTCACCGGAGCAGTGAAACCCTTGGAATGTGCTGTGTCCCTGAACACATTCCCATGACTAGAGAAAGTCCCACATGAGGCTCCTGCTGCCTCCAGCCACCTTTCCTGGCTGGTTCAGTGTGGTCTGGGCACTGTTCTCTGCACACATCATCCAAGCCTTATTTCCAGCCCTCTTGAAAATCTTGTGAGCTTCCAAAGAGCCTTTAATAAATCCCTTTTTGGGGACAACAGTGATGAAAGAGTATGAACTCTAGAGCCAGGCTGCTAGGGTTTGAATCCCATTTTTTAGCTGTGTGATCTTAGGCACACTACTTAACTTTTCTGTGCCTTACCTTCCTCATCTTGAAATGGTCCTCCTAGAGTAGTTGAGAGGATAAACTATGTAAAGCCCTCCAGTGCCATGTACCTGTATTGGTCCCAGCTATTCGGGAGGCTAGGGCAGGGGGGTCACTTGAGCCACAAGTTTAAGGCCAGCCTGGCCAACATAGAGAAATCCAGTCTCACTTAAAAGTTAAAAAAAAAAAAACAAACGGGAAAAGAAAAAACTTGACAATACCAACATTGGCAAGGAAGAACAGCAAATGGAACCCTCTCTTATACATTAAAAAAAAAAAAAAAAAAAGCTAGCAGTAGTGGCATATGCCTGTAATCCCAGCTACTTGGGAGGCTAAAACTAGAGGATTCCAAGTTCAAGGCCAGCCTGGGCAACTTAATAAGACCCTGTCTCAAAATAAAAAACAAAAAGGGTTGGAGATATAGCTTATAGTAGAATGCCTCTGGATTTGATCCCTAGTACCAAGGTGGAAAAAAAAGACTTGGATTTTCAAGTGGGAGCCAAGTCCATCTTCCATTGAGCACACATTTGATTATTAACACTGCAAATAATGCAGACCCTACCAGCAGAGCTGCTTGTGAGGAAACAGCCAGCCTGGAGGACCAGAGGCTCCTGCCTACCTTGCTTCCCATAGTCATTCAGGCCTGCAGCCTGCAGGTCCACGCTGTGGAGCTGGCACAGGACTCTGTTCATGGCGGTGTATATGGCTCGCCTTTGGCTGGGCTCCAAGCCTGGCAGAGAAGGGTCTTTGTAGATGAGGCCTGGGCAGTACTCCATCACATAGAAGGGTGTGCCGATGACACTGCAGGGGACACAGACGGGGTCTCAGGGCCCCGACACACAGCGTGGCAGCTGTCAGTCCCCCCACTGCTCTGAATGTTGCTGTGCACACAGGCTAGGCACTGGGGAAATGCTCAGGCCTGGAGCACTGGGCATACTGGACATTTCCTTTTTCCTGTGCACATAAGGAAGGTGAACATCCACCAAAGACACACACACACACACACACACACACACACACACACACACACACACAGCCTGCTCTTTCTGCTCTTTGGTCCATTTGCAGAAACCATCAGATGAATGTTGCTGTGCACACAGGCTAGGCACTGGGGAAATGCTCAGGCCTGGAGCACTGGGCATACTGGACATTTCCTTTTTCCTGTGCACATAAG